GCTATCGAAATAGGAAGCGATAATCATCCAAATCTTTATATATATATATGTATATATATATATATATATATACATATATATAATTGGCGCTTTATGACCGCTAAAGCGCTTTTCGCTCTATACAGCATGTATCTATGTATCTATGGACATATATGTAGCATATGTATGTGGCATTTAAAAATTATTTAATCATATTTTTCATTAGAGCCGGCGTTTTATTTCGCTAATAATTAGTTTATAAAACGTCGTGTTGACACTTGTATTTTATATATTTGAACATTACATAAGTACAAAGCAAGCCTTTTTCAATTTGTACGATTGGGGCTGTGAAATAAATAATTCTTATTTATATAAAAACAAATTTATACGCTTTTTTGTTATGGTCATCAGAGCCGTCACTGTCACAATTGCAATTGGCACTGCTTTTCAGGGCTTTCAAGGGCTTCTTTTCCGTACACTTTTATATTGGATTTTACCAAATCATTGAAATGAAATAATTTTTAATTTTTTTTTTATATTTAATATATTTTTTTTGTTTTTTTTTTTTTTGTTTTGAAATGCACTTTTAAATAAGAGAAATAAAAAATTGCACTACGTAAACACACCGCAAATCGGTAACTTTCGTTGTGTTGACATCAAAAATAAATATGTTTAATTGCTTGTGTTGGCTTATTCACTTAAACTGCATATCTCTTGCGGGTGAATGAGTTTTGCGTTGGTTGCGGCAATCGTGTGCCCTTTGCATTCCTCTATTGACTATTCGTTCAATCTCTACAAAGCAAGCGTTCGCGACAACTTCCTATGCGATACTGAAATCGAAACCGAGAAACTATAAACTCAGACGGAATCGCAGAACCTATGGTGAACGTATAAAAGTACGGCGGCCCGTCGCAGCGTGAGCAACAACAACATTCGTGACAACACAACAGCAATTAGCTAACGAGCCAACCAACTGGCAACAAATACACACATTCGCACATACACGCACACCACAACGTAGGGCAACAGCAATGTAACCTAAACACTAAAAGTCGAACATCATAGCAGCGCCATAGCTCTAGCCGTCCACACAAACGTCTAACACTAATAGTTGGAGGAATAAAAAATAACTGCAACTGCGACAACTGGCATAGCTGCGCGCGAGCAAACTTCAGTAATAATGTCGTGAATGCAGCACCCACATGCGGCCGACCGTTGCACAAACTATACAAAACGCCACCCAACAACCCTATAACATGTCCGCCGCCCCCTTTTTGCTCAGCCTTAGTGCCTCTGCTTTGGCTGCAGTCGTTAGCTACCGGCGAGCGGTTGACAGCGCTGAGATGTTCCGCTGCACTCGACCACATGGCCGCCGGAGCACAACTTGCTCTCTGTAAAACAGCTGATAACACAATGTTTGAAAGACAGAGAGCGAAATTCGCAATATTTACATTCGTCGTTGCACACACATATGTACTTTTAAGTGCATACATTTTTATATATATACATCGTAGTATTGTTGTAAGCTTTGTTATTGTTTAACGACTAAAACTGATAAGGCAAAAGTGCAGACAGCGTTTCATATGACGAGAGATTGAAGCTAAAGCTCCTGGCTTCTACTCTCTGTCTCACTATCTCTCTCTATCGTTATGTGTGTCTCTTCTTCAAATAAATAAGAGACTTGTGACATATTACGAAAGCTTTCATAAGAGCACTACAGCATTTGACACATATATGAAGTGTATGAAGGGCCTATTCCCAGCTGACTTTGTTGGTTTTGTACGCTCGATTTTGTTTCGCCAAAACTTTAAAGCTTGAATGGCTTAATGAAGGCTTCAAATACCTAGATATGAAAAGATGATTATTGTCCAATTATGCCTACATGAGCTGTACCAACTTAAGCTGTCTAACTTTACATAGTTCAGCAGCGAATCGAGAGACTCGGGCCACGCCGGTTAGTTCACGTTGCCCGGATGCGGAAGTACATTCCAACTTTTAAAATTTTCGATGCACTATGCGATGGTGGATCCAGATTGAAATAGTATTCCTGGAAACTCTCAGAGATCAACGTATTTTAGCTAGAGTTAACATAGAGCCTTTTTCAAACTATGACACTCTCCTTAGAATTCGTACTTCGTTCTGGTCCTTTTAACTTCGGGCTTACACAGTAGGGATACCTAGGTTTTTATGTACAGTTGCTGTCAAAATAATAGCACCACTATAGGTATTTATATTTATTATTCAATTCTGTGGCAATAATGCTTCTATATATTTATCCAGAAATTTACAGTCCGTTTAAACGGTAATTTGTATTGACATATATATTATGCACATTAATTTTTTTTCGCTTTAATGCACGCAATGGGTCGTGATAAACATTGTGCCCGGGTGAAAAACGTGAAATAATAAAAAATAAAAATTTCGGAGGGAAAACGTGTTTTCAAAATCGAAATAATGTTGGTTGCTCAAATAAATTTAAATCGAAAAACATTGATGAAAAATAGTAAGAGCACCTGCAATGATCAGTCGCTTAGTACGGGAAAAAAATCTCCGTTCATGTCAACAGCAGAAGTGAAAAACGAATCAGAACTGTCAGTAAGCTCTGAGAGAAACATGCAGAAGACTTAGAGAATATAATCAGAAAATTCACAGTCGAATGCAAATGTTCAAACGGTTACTGTTTGCTAAAACCCACCTAGAATAGTCAATTGGAATATCTTGTGGACAGATGAAAATAAAGTAGTTTTATTTGGTGGAAAGAGTTCTCGATCTAATGTTAGAAGCCCACCAATTTCGGAATATAATAGAAAATGTGCCGCAAAGACGTTAAAATACGGAGGTTCCAGTAGCATGACATGGGGATGTATTTCGTACTACAGTGTTGAGCATCTTCTCATCAAGGATGACATAGAATACAAATAATACTCGAAGTAGTAATGTTTCCATATCCTTCCGAAAATATGTCACTGATTTGGGTCATGCAAGAAGTCAATGACCCAAAGCACACTAGCGAAGCAGCTAAAAAGTTGTTTCAGGACAATAATGTCCTTTTTATAGAATGTCCTGCAGAGTTCACAGATTTTTACCCCTTTGAAAATAATGATCCTTGGGACACAGTACAACAGGCCTGGCACTCCATTTCATTACAGAATTGTCATAACTTGATCAATTCAATGGGAAGGCCCTGCAAAGCAATTATTTCTAACAAAGGTAACGTAACAAAATATTAAAAGCAGTATGAAGGATATTTAGTCACATTGCAACCGTAGTAAACGATATTAAAACAATTTTAATGTTTTTGCTTTTAGGTCAAAATTACCCCTGCTATTTTTTATAGTATATAGATTTTTGGAGAAAATTGAACTTGTGGTACTTTCAATTTAAATGGAACTCGTTTTCTTTTTATCATTATGAATGTGTACATACATATGTTTTTACCGCGGGCCTAAGGGCGGTGTATTGGCAAGCCTGTAGCGTCTTCATCTGCCTCTCGTTCGTCCCGGTGCTCCAATCGGTGCAGCATAGTTAACGACCGGCCGGCCGGTCAAATGTCTCGTAGGTTGCCAGCAAGGCTTCTTGAACTTTACTCCTCTTGAAACATACCCCACAGTTGAATACTATACAACCAAATGGAGCGAATATATATCTTGAAGAATATCATCTTTAACTGGAAACTCCACAGTAATAATTTCGCAGTAAATCACCTCATACACAGGTATGCTTCAAATATATTGTGAATGGAGAAGTCACATTGTTTGCAGGGTATTATACGAATATTTTGTTGCACATAAATATTATATAATAAATAAACGTTTGCGCATTTGTTCATATTTAGCCCTTTAGGCTTTGGGGAAAAACTCCCAGTAGCAAATTCAAAAAAAAATTTGGATTATTTGAATATTCCGTCAGAGTTTTTTTCATATAGAAGTTGTATGGGAGTTTTTATAAAAAAATGGAAGTTAGTTAATAAATATAATACAAATAGTTGTATTAATGGTTTCTTTTCACAAATAATCACGTTGCGGTTGCTAGTAGAGCTGTTGGAAATTCAACCGACTATAGCCAGAGGGTTTTTTAAGGGTAATAAGGAGGAGCTCAACTAATTTTGGAAGAAAGTCAATAACGAATTACCTCGGATCCGCAAGTAAAAAATTTTGTCATGCAAGAAGGAAAAATTTCTTTCCGAGGAAAAGGCGTTTTTTTTTTAATACGCATTTTACTTTTAGCTGTAGGCTTATCTAAAGAAATACTTGCGACTCAAAACTTGAAGACCAGAAAGCACGAGGAGGTGGTCCTAATGCATAGCGCAAATAATCTTCTCTCTAAGGGATAAAAGGGTCGGTGGAATGGTTGTCTGCGAGGAAGTTTCGATTGCAGGAACAGAAGACCTTGCCAAAAAACATGGATATTTGCCTTGATCTAGAATCTATCCACATACGTTGAAGAAGAATTCGTTTACATTCTTCCACATTTGCTTCGGCAGCCAATAGATATAGTACCACAGTATCCATAATTCTAATTTTATTATTATTTTCAATAACAATTTATTTCACCAAATTACCAAATATCAATAATACACAATAATATTAGGCAGCTGATTTAGAAAGAGAAAAAATCCTACTCCCAAAAAATCATTCCCAATTTTTTGGAAATTTTGCCGTCTGCTAACTGGTTCTACCGAATATAAATTATTATGAAATATTTGTGAACAAGTATTTGAAATGGGTTTTGTGTTATTGTAAAAATGAAACATCCCTACAAGAAGTCTTCCGATCATTTAAGCCAACATATGTCAGGAATGCATGACGACATATCCCGTCAGCTCGTAGAACGATTTTTCTATCACTTTCTTAAGGCCAAAATGACAAACGTGATTTTTACATTTGCATACGTGTACGTCATTCTCTCTTCGTTTCCTTGTGCAGCTGACCGACAGCATTGATGTCGAAGTAAATCAGCTTTGACAAAAAATATTCCACATATATACATACATACGCTTTGACAAAAATAAACAAATATAAACATTTTTAAGATTCAGTCTTTATTTCAATATTTAACATAAATCATGTACATGGTTCACATAACATACAAAGGAAATAACAATACAACAATAAACTCGTTTTCAAAAATCAGCAAAATATTATAAACAAAACTGCATATACAGAAGTCTTTAGTAGTGACGCAGCCCCTCGGCTCCACGAACGCCTCCGTCATAAGCTCCTTTGAAGTGCAAAGACATCACAGTAAAATTAAAAAATAGTTTTCGAATTATAAAGTTATTAATATCTTAATGCAGTTGAAATGTGCTGCTGCTGTAAGCTGAGAAGCGTCCATTCTGTTGAACTAGCTCCATTAACAGAGTTTTCCGTACAATATGGAGTACCCTTAAATAAAAACATTATAAAGAGTTATGAAAAATGAAGTAATTAATTAATCGACAATTTGTTATTACCACAGCTTGTACAGGATCCTCATCATATATTTTTTACTTCTATCTGCTGCAAAAAAACGATAAAAAATGGCGTTCTACTCGAAAATAAGAACAAAGAAAATCGGATAATCCGTCTATCTGTATTTTTCTTCAACATGTATGTACTCAGGAGAGAAAGATAAACAAACAAAAAATGTGCTTATGTTTTAGTGCTGCCTGAAATCGTATGAGTAATGAGTGTATTGGTAAACCCATCAGCCCGTTCTTGCATGGTTGGCAGCTTTTCACTCTAGAGTCTCGAGTCTAAGATAACGTAATATTTATGCATTTAATTTTCCTTAATTTAAATTAACGTGTACTTATCAAGTAATTTATACATTCAGTATTAACATAAAAACAAAATAATACCTTAAAGGACAAATTCCTAAATGGTTAACTTTGTTTTTCCATATGAAAGTATTTACCACCTTAGCTGATAATAAATTTAAAAATAATCTATACTTTTGAAATTAATATAATAGAAAGTATTTCGGCTGTGTGAAAAACTTTATTTTTTTCAACGTGTTTTTGTATTTTTAATGAAGACTATATTGCTTCAATTATTCTCTTACATATATACATACTTGACTTCGCTTTCGATTTATCAAAGCAGTTCACATATTGAAAAACTTAACAAGAAAACAAAAAGAACTAGCATTAAGGCCTACAATGACTCAAAACCGTCCGTACATCATGTATATAAATATCACATTTAAGACGTAGGGACAGGTTTCGGTGGGGGTGTGTCTTTGCTTTCATCTTCCCTGTCCTTATTCCAATTTTGTAATCCTTTAGGAAGCGACGTGTCCTCCTCGAAAGAACCAGTACCTTCAACAAATTCTTCATATGTAGATTTCTCTTTGAATGGTCGGGGTCCTAATAGTTCAATCATATCATCACGACTTAATATTTCATTCTTCAATAACCGCTCAGCAACGCGCCGTACATCTTCTTTATGTTTTGTCAACAAATCTGTAGTGTGTTGATGCGCTTTGTTAATGAGTTTACGAACTTCCTGATCAATTAGTTGGGCGGTTTCTTCAGAGTAGGGCTTGGTAAATGCGGGATCACCCTGTTGTCCCCCATCGAAACTCACCTGACCGACTTTCTCGTTCATTCCGAATCGAACAATTTGGGCATATGCGCTATCCGTAATCTTTTTCAAATCATCCTGCGCACCGGTGGTAATGCGATTAAAGAAAAGCTCCTCTGCAACTCGTCCGCCTAGGGTCATACACATACGATCGAAGAGCTGTTCTTTTGACAATAAGTATTGATCTTTGGGTAAATATTGGGCGTATCCAAGACCTTTACCACGGGGTATAATTGAAACTTTAAGTAATGGGTCCGCAAACTCAAGAAACCAGCCAGCCACTGCGTGACCGGCTTCGTGATGCGCAACGGTTTTCTTCTCCTCCGGAGCTAAAACATTAGTCTTTTTCTCCATGCCAGCTATCACGCGCTCAATGGCTTGTTCAAAATTTTTCATCATAATTGAATCAAGAGAATCTCGTGCTGCTATTAGTGCAGCTTCATTGCACACATTCGCAATATCAGCGCCAGTGAAGCCAGGTGTAAGTGCAGCCATTTTTCTGGCAAGATCTTGTTTATCCAAATCCGTTTTTAGAGGTCCCAGATGTACCTAAAAAAAATTATCACAATTATTATAAAAGATAAACGTTTCCTCCAGTCATCAGCCGCAACATTGGTATTAAATAATTTGTTTTTGTTGTAACCGCAAAATATTTCCTGAGTTAGTTTTTGGTGAATATTGCGGTAGTGACGGTCTTTGGCCGGAGAAAAATCCGAGTCGTTCCGGTATAAAAACCGACAGTCGTGGGAACTATTGGATTTTAGTCGCCTCTTACGACAGGCATGCCTTATCGCATAAAAATGATAGAAGATGCGACAATGGCAATTAAACAATTAGTATAGCATAACCCCTCTCAGCTCCTTAATTTTTATATTAGAAGCTATATACTTACATATAGCAATTGGTTTAACTTGCGTTCGTAAGCTTCTGAAGTTTTCTGTTAGAAGCTTTAATAATATATATTTATACATATATAAATACATATATAAATCGAGGGACCTACAGTTTATACTAAGCGGCCTCCGAACGGCTGATAGTTTTTATGAGGAGCTTTTATTTCATGTCAGAAATTTACTCGGAGTCGTTGACATTCTCTGCCGAGGGGCGACAGAAATTAGAAAATTTAACTTAATTTTTTTTTATTTAAATAGTGTCTATAACTTTTGGGTGTTGGTTGTACCAGAATTTGAATCTTGGCCTTCCGAATGGCAGTATGTAGTGTTAACCACTCCACTACAGCGACCACGGAGAGGCTTTCAAAAACTTACTGGAAAATTGCGAATTTATATTTATATATATCTTTTTAAGAGTAAACACTATAAAAATATTTACCTTAAAAATGCTGGCACGTCCTTTTATATCTGGCGCAGGGACGAATATCTGGCGATCGAATCTTCCTGGACGCATTAACGCTTTGTCCAAAATATCTACACGGTTTGTTGCCGCCAAAACAACAACATTAGTAGTTGTATTGAAGCCATCCATTTCCACCAACAATTGATTTAAAGTGTTTTCTTGTTCAGAATGACCACCAAAAGATTTACCACCTCGCTTCCGACCAACAGCATCAATTTCATCAATGAATAAGATACATGGTGCATGCTTTCTAGCCATAGAAAACATATCACGAACGCGTGATGGACCTACACCAACAAACATCTCCAAGAACTCTGAACCGGATACACTAATAAAAGGTACATTCGCTTCGCCGGCAGTTGCCTTTGCCAACAAAGTTTTACCGGTACCAGGCGGACCAGTCAGCATTGCACCTTTAGGTATTTTCGCTCCGAGGTCAATATATTGTTGTGGATTCTTTAGGAAATTCACAAATTCCATTATTTCAATTTTGGCTTCTTCACAACCCGCAACGTCTCTGAAATAAAATGTTGATAATATTAAGCTTTCTGTTGGTCAAATTTATTATAAGATTTACTTAAATCGTACGCCAATTTCATTAGAATTGATTAGCTTTGCCGTAGACTGCATAACACCCCCAAATAAACCGCCGCCTTTTCTGCCACGACCACCACCCATCATATCAGCTGATCTCCGCATCATATAAACCAAAAAACCAATTATCAGGAGAGTAGGCAAAAGTCCTGTTAATGCCGATGCCTCTACTTCCGTGCGATAAATAACAGGAACATAATTAAGTGGTTCAATGCCAAGATCTGTTTGGGCGTTTTCTAAATTACGTTCAAACGAATCTACACTACCGATGTTAAACCAGAGAACGCCGCTGGCATCTTGTGAATTGCCAGGAAGTAAGCGCACCCGAACCCACTTTTTATTAACTACTTCCAGTTTTTCAACTAATCCTTTATTAAGATAGCTGAAATTAAATTATTTTTATAGGAATATTTACAGAAATAAATTAATACAAACTTGTTAACGAATTCCTTCCAGGAAATTTCTTTGTATCCCATTTCAAAGAACGCTATTGTTGCCAGAAGTGCTACTGTACTGATAGCACCAAAAACGATCCACTTTTCGCGATCGCCTCCTGAGCCTTCCCCAATCGGCCGTCCACTACCACCGCCCGCACCACGATTACCTTGTGATCCCTTTGAACTATTTGTGAACATTCCAAAACTCCAATCACTTTTATTTGTTGGAGATGTACCACTTTCTTTGCCAGCTGAAGATTCTGAAGATTTATCCTCATTTGATTTCGACAAATTACCATCAGAACCCTTTTTACTCGGAGGTTTCCCTTCTTCAAAGTATTTTTCGAAACCCTTTGGTGGCTTTTTACAAAGGTATTGAATTTGTTCTATCAAGAACTGAATTGCAGGCATTTGCATAAAGGAAATAGTTCTTTCCGAATTCATTTTGAGAACTCTGACGTTCATGTTATTGGTCATGTAGCTTCGTCGAAGATATCGTTCCATGGTTTTCGCTGATTGAATTAACCTGTGCGCCATTGTTGCTTATTATTTATATTCACTTTTTCCTTTGTACCCTTTCCAAAAATAATTTCACAAATTAATTGTGATATTTCGTTGTTGATTTTTCGTTCTTGGTTATCCAACCAATTCAAAGCCTAGTAGAAGCTCTCGATGCCCTTCTCTTCTAAAATATAATGCCGCGGATGGGAAATCTTAAATTTTGCACATTATGTTACTTACATTTAACATCTGCGTACACAGTTTTCTTGAAAAATAAACTATTTCAAATAGTTTCTATTCAATATTTCAAGAAATTAACTACGAATTTTTCCTTCTTTCTAAATTTGCGGTGGTGAAATCTGGTGAAATAACGCGGCTATCAAAAATAAATGTCCAATTTTAATGACAGCAATCAGTGTTACCTCTTTTTCCCTTTGAATACCAGACACTGCTAAATATCCCATGCGAATTGGAGAATTTGTAACAACGAGAAGCGAAGACCATTGTCTGGATCAAAACAGAAGACAGTAACTGATGAAAATACCAAGATCGGACTAAGACTGTGCAATGAGGAGAATTAGCGTATAAATACATGGTCCACAATATGTAAGTGTTCCCATGGTTAATAGCAGCGAATTTTACTGATGAAATCATATGTAGTGCGGACTTACTCCTTGGTCAAGGAATGAATGTGAAGCTAAATGAAAATCACTTGTAGTGTGAAAGTATGAAAGTTGCGTTATCTTTTTGGGTTAAATCTTTAGACTCAGAGGAAGATTGTACAAATGGAGAGCCTTCTTTGACTTAGGTAGAGGTCAGTGGGGCACAAACGACAAAAACGTATTTGAGGTGAGATAAAGGCTGATAACTAGCGCGTGTTCTAGAGCACGTGCATCCAATGCTCATTATCGAGAGCATTCAAACAAGAACCTTTAACAAATGCAAGCCTAAAATCCAACGGCTATATAATAGCAAACGTTCAGTTGAATGTAAAACCCGATAATAACAAGATTGGCGCAGAGAAGCGGATTGAACTAAGAGTTTATAAAAGAGAATAACTGTGTATGTAGTGAAACCCCCAAATACCAATGTGGCAAAAACCCTAAATACCAATGTGAGATGAAAAAAAAAATTTCAATAACTAAAGAATGTTCTTATGAGCGAATGATCTATTCATTGACTCATAACAAGAATTGAAAGTTAACCTGCTGTCTAAAATCTCTCATTAACAAAATTGCTTGAGGCATTTCAGAGAAATGTACATTGATGGTGGCAACGTTTTGACGAAAAAAAGCGAATGCAATATGGCGTCGTTGTGCTGTGTCGTGGGTACGTATTGAGTTGTGAAAATTTTTTAATTTATGAAATATGTTCATATTATATATCGAATGAGTGAAAAAGGTATTCTTTACCAGTGCTAAGTTTCTTATGAAGTTGGGGAAAATATTTTGAGAGTGTCTAAGAGAGTTCAAAACGTTGAAAAACTTGGTGAAATTTCTGCTGATCCAGGAGTGTACTTTCTCGGCGTCAAGACAAGCGAACTGCCATGAAAATAAGAAACGTCGTCGTTTGATTTTAATTTTGCCAATTTTCAAATTTCACTACTGTTAAACAAATTTTTTATTAATACTATTAACAATTTGAAAGTGAATATTCGATGAAAACCTTTTTGGATAAGTACAACAAATTTTTTTTATGTATGTACTGCCGGCTAGGACCGGGGCTACGAACTGAAACACACATATTTAACATTGCGAACTTTGCGTACGTGTATAGACAGACACTTTAATACATAAATATGTGTGATTTGTTGTATAGAGACAACACAATCCACAGAACTCTCTATTGCTTTTTTATGTTGAAGTGGTTTACAGCGCAATGCACTAAAAAATCAATAATGCATTGCAGGATGTCTAACGTGATAATGTTATTCCGAAAGTCACCATATATGCAGTTTGTTATAGTGTATTGCATTTCAATTTCCAATCCTGGCTTTGATATCCTTTAAAAATATGTGTTTAATGTATCTTTTTTTTTTTGCCGGTTATATGTAACAACATATCATTGGTGTGATAAAAAAGTAAAGTCTAAAATGTGTACATTATAAATCATTTCAAAACGTTGAAGCAAATTAATTTAAAATTACATATAATAGTGAAATAAGGGCAAAACACCAAATATATTATAATCCGCTGTTTTTTCCACACGAAAAAACTAAAACTTAGTGTAAAAGTTTTATTAAATAAGATTTATAATGTTCTGATTAGCTGGTTGACTATAAACTACAAGGGACATAGGATTATATGGAGAATTTATTGAAAGTGCGAACTACCACTACTATTGTTGGTGTTGTTGTTGTAACCTCAAAAATATTCCCCAAAGTAATTTTTGGATTGTAGGTTGTAGGGAAACTCGACGTAACGAGTTCAACCATTTACTTTCCTTTGCAATAGATTGGTCTCGTAAACTATTCACCAAATGAAAATTATTTATATATTTCAAAAGCTAATACTACAATAAAAAAATATAATTTAGCTGATTAGTACCTAAAAAAATAATTATTCTTGTATTGAGCGTTTGAAAGGGTGGTTTACTCGTTCAAAAAAATTTGTTTAACAAAGCTTTCGGTTTCAATAAGACTTAAAAATTTAATCAATTCCACTTACGCTATTCTAAACAAGAAGAAAATACATACACGTATCTAACATTTTTACACAAAATAGATAGAGAATCCCATTACTTCTCGGACTCCAGGGGAAGGAACGAGATAGTGGACTTTATGAGCTGGTGGCATCTGTCAAAGCTGCGGTGCAGGAAATTCCGCTAATTCCCTTCGGCACCGGGGTTTTAAACCTCCACGGCTGTCACTCTTTCCGCGAACTAATCCCGCAGATAACATAGATGCGCTACTCCATGGCGATTGATTTTGGTTGAATTAAAAATGAACCACGGTTTTTTGGAATTCACGCATGTCAAACGACCATAGAGGAATGTTCCTAGCCGAAAAGGCAATTCAACAACAACATATTTGGGACGTCGAAAGGGTGACATCCCGGGTCGCCCGATGTCTCGAGTAGGAACGTATTCGAGACAGACTCGACTGTTACAGTTTAACTGCAACGGACTTCAGGAAAAGATCGACTAGATAGTCGACTACATAAGCCGGGAGCACCAGTCAATTGCTGCGATCAGCAGACGTCACTTCTGGTGAAAGTTCCTTCCGCAGGATTGCCGTGACCGCTACCGCCCGCTTCATCACAGCAGGCCGAATTGCGGAAATCCGCCCCAATTTTCCGACAGAAGCGACGATCTTAGCAACAAGGCGACACCCTTCGTAATGCCTATCCCGGAAATCCGAAACTCGGTGATATCAACGCGGAGATTCGCAGATCAGTTAGCAGCCATAAGCGGAAAAGTGGGAGGAGCACGGTCCTGTAATCTCTCCTCTGGGGCAACCAATCTCTGAGCTACAGTCAAATCGTTGTTTAACCCGCCGAAACGCGATTGGAAATTTCATCTGTTGGGATACTAAAGTCGGTGTAACTTAAACTTTGAACGAAGGTCTCAATCTGCCTTGAGAGACCTGAACATATCATAGTGTTGGTCGTATGGGCTAAGTTGGTACAAGTTTGCCTGGTAGATTATTTGACATTTCTGTCTATGATTATAAAAGAAACCCAATTTTAGGAATATTTTTGAGGCTACTCTTGTTTTAACAAAACCTGGGAAATGATAAAGTTCATGACTGAAGGTCCTCTTATTTGATTATAACTGCAAATTGTATTAAACTTATTGAGGAATTTCAGGATATTTTGTTAGAGTACAAAAAACCATTTTATTTGGGTCCGAGCTGTTTGCCTTGCATACATAGATGTATGTACAGCCATGGTCGCGCAAATAGCACAAAGTACGAGAAAAGGTAAATCTTCTGAGGAAAATATGGTATTTGTCTGAATAAAAAATTGTTTAATAGTTATTAAAGTTGTCTAGTTTACAGTGCGTTTCGTACATTCCCGTTGTCTTAGCAACCGTACGTTTTTCGTCGATTTATCTGATCGAGCTATTAGTTTGAGGTGGTCAAGCAAATGGCACAGTCATCGGTTGGATCTTGAAAGTATCTTTCTATTTATTTTTAGTGGAAGTTAAATACATTAAAAGTTTAATTCATTCAAAATTTCTGCGGATTGAACTTAAACGGGTTGCGGGAAACACTGTACTCCTTAAAAAAGAAGCATTATTAAAGTGAAGTAATCTTCTATCTCAAAACAAATCCAAGGCACCTGCTCCGCGCAAGACAGCGATTTTTGAAGACAGAGCCAAAATACAAAAATACAAATAATTCGATTAAATAAGGCCCAACTCTTTGGAGGCATTATCCGCAAAAAACCACTCCTGTCAAAACGGCATATAGAAAAACGGTTAAAGTTTGCTAAGACGCCTGATAGCATGGCGATAAGTTTTTGGAAAAATGTATTATGGACCGATGAAACTAAAATAAATAGAATGGAGCCAGATAAAAAAAAACCACATTTCATCGTAAAAGAGGTCAAGATTTGAATCCTAGGTACACCAAAAAGACCATAAAACATACAGGCGGTAATATTATGATTTAGGGGGCATTTTTCCTGGCATAGCGTAGGGCCAATTGTGCGAAAAAATGGAAAAATAGACAAATATCAATATCTGAACATTTTGAAGAATGAAATGGAACTATTCGTATTTGACTCCATGCCACTAAACTGGACTTTTATGCAAGATGATGATCCTAAGCATACCGCGAAGGTCACACAAGATTGGCTTAAGAAGGAAAATATTCGTTTTTTGGGTTGGCCTGCACAAAGCCCAGACTTAAACCCAATAGAAAATTTATGGAACAATGTTAAAACAAAAATATCTGCAAAAAAAATTCGATGAAGTAGATATACTACAAAATACTAATAGATAAGACCTACTTAAGACTAATTATCTTATATGAACTAGCATATTTGAAATTATAATTACAAGCTTTGCAAAATTTGCTATTTTCGTGACGAGAGCATTTCATTAGGAACCTCAAACTTTGAATTATTTTAAATTTTCATTGAAATATTATTAAGTTTTTGTATAAAGGTTTGGTTAAATAATAACTGAGTGAACACATCGTTACAATATTTTCATATATTAAGCACAGATATCCCTTTTTTTCATTATTATGTCCCTGAAGAAAAGTTGTGCTATTTGTATGACCATGGCTGTATGTACATAGTTAACTATAGTACTCGAAATAGTCTAGCCTTTGTATATTATACAGTCTTAGTTATTTATTTTTAAAAATATAGATAATATTTTCTTAATTGAACTTCTTATTTTACAGCTTTTGTAACTAAAACTCCGTTTTGACATCACACTCAACTATTTTCATCATAATCTAAAACACCATCGAAAACGAAATAAATTTAACAATTACTTACAAAAATACAAAACAAGTTTATCAAATTACAAAAACCAACAAATCGCGCACGATTGAGATTTATTAGAAACACTGAACTTAGCCGTTCAGACATGGTGAAGGAATAGTGAAATTCTGGAGAATAATTTCTTATTCCAAATATTTCTAAGGATTATATTTAAAAAGTTGACCTTTGTTCTATTCCGTTGTATACAAGATAATAATAATAATACATTACAAACACAACATATTTCGTGACTATTCTTGAGATAGTGCTTACGCGCGTAAGCACGGTATGCTGGTGAGCCTGTTGATGGGTATTTGGTAGAGCGTAGCCACGTAAATCTGAATGTCGCAAAAACTTAATAGACATTTTATTCTCAATACTCAATTTCTTTGAATTTTATGGTAATTAATTAAAAATAAAAAGTTGTAACAAAAAATAATAATTCGGTTTAACTTTTAAGAATCTCAAAGCGGAGAACTGGTCGTATTTGGAGCTGTCTTCGAGATTGATTAAATACAGAAGTCATTAAAGATCCTGGGAAGGCGATTTGAAATATATGTGCAACAAATCTATTAAACTCAATACTCTGCCACATGGAAACTGCAAATAGTAAAAAGTTATTAAGAAAGAATACATAACTCGTTGCAAATTCAGAAACTTTAAAAAACGCATTCCGAGGTACGGCGATACTGACGAACCTAAAAAAGCATTGCCAACGACTGCAGATCGCCTGCAGTTTACACAAAAAGCAATTAAAATCCATCAAATCAAGGACATAACACAATCGTCCAGTTTATGCGATAGTTGCCGACTTTGTAAGACTTCCTGGTGCCGGTAGTACATTTGCGATTGTGCACACCACTATTAATTTGAAATAAATAACGTTCAATAAATTCAATCCCAAACCACTCCAACTCCAACGAAAGCATACTCCAATTCCTATAAACACTACTCCTTATAAAATCATTCATTTCAGTAAGTCCTGACAATTTCAAACGGAAGCGAATCGGCAATGCAAAAACCTCTACAAGAGCAAAAGCTACACAACCAGCAACAAAATAAATACAACTGAAAAGAAAAGTTTTAAAGTACAAAACGCAATAAAAATAAAATTACAAACAACAAAAGAAAAACATAAACATAAATACTTACAATTAATAAATAAAAAAAAAATCTGAATAGAAAAGTAAGAGTGTTGTGAAAAGAAACTTATAACACAAATATAAAGCAGAAAACACAAATTAATATAAAAAACCTTTCACAACAAAACATTTATATAGGAAATATTAGTCACTGAATGTGTTAGAAACAAACCAAAAACTTAAAAAATCGTGGCTTGTATTTGAACGAGTATTTTATGATAGCCGAGTGCGTATGAGAAGTGTATACAAAAAAGAAAAGAAAATACATCGATTCAAGTTAGTCCATAAGGTGAAAATCGCTGAAGCTGGATTAGACTTTCCCCATCTGTTAAGCTCGTTGTTCGATTGACTCTCATCCACAGCACGCACATCATTAGTCGAATACCCGCCGCCCCAATAAACAACAAACTCCCACAGCAACTTGCCAACAAATATATAGACATTTTCTAAAGAATTGTGGATGTGTGAATACAAAGTTGAACAAACTTTAACTTAGAGCGGCAAATTCATTTAAAACATTGTCCAAAATAAAATCATGCAGTGAAAAGCCAACGAAACCGTGGATTGAAATAAAATCGATAAAGTGCAGAACTGAGGAGAGCTAATAATAAATCAAATGTGTGAAATAGCGGTAGAGTAGTATCTAGTTGACTCGAATGTTGCAATAAATGCAGTTTAATACAAACAAACAAATGCAACGTAACAACAATAAACTTAAACATTTTAAAAAATTAGTACATATTTGAATAACTACAATAATAACAAGCATTATCTATTATCAACTATTATCAATCAAGGAGCGCAGAAATCGAAAACAGTAATCTAAAAGTAATGTTTAAAAAAAAAATAAACAAAACCATATATAACTAAAATACAATTAAGTCACTTTTACATCTGAGTAAATAATATATTTTACAATAATACAACTGAGCAACTAAGGATACATAACTAGAGTGTAATATATTTAAAGCATCAACGAAATTGTTAAATAAATTGCGTAAAAAATGCATTCTTTTTTGGTGTATTAATTATAACATTTCTCCCTTAAATGGTTAAAAAATAGTTTTAATCGTACCAATAAGTAAAAAAAAAATCTAAAAGGGAGTGGTGAGTGGTGTGTCTTAAGTTGCAGTGAGCTTACCACGCTCACTCCAAACACGTCAATCGTAAGAAAGTGAGAGGAGTTTGGAACCGACACTGATTTAAGGAGACTGCAACAATAAATATAAAATAAAAAAACTCTTAACCAAGTACACCCAGCCTGTTTGGTGTATAAAATAAATAAAATTAAATTAAATATTTATAATAAAGATGTATGTCTGCGCATATGAATGTGTCTAGTACCTACTTACTGTGTGTGTGTGATTAATTAAACAATAGCAAAACAAGACAAAGTAAAAATACGAGAGTTTATAAAAAAAAAACAACAAAACAAACAAAATTCAAAGAAAGATTTAACAACTCTGTGATAATTATTGTAAATTTATAATGTAATCTAAAAACAAATAGTAAGGAAAAAGCAACAAAAACAAAGATTATAAAAAAACAGCAACAAAGAAAATTTTCGTTAAATTAATTTGAATTAATAACTAGAATTAAAAGAATTTAAAAAAATGTAGACGTAAAACTACAACACAAAATAGAAACAACTAAAGCAAATGCAAATGAAGATAATGAAACATTGAAACAAATTCGTGATATCTTAAAGGACTTCGATACATATATACTATAGTATATTATTATATTATATTTTATATTAATTAAGTGCATAAATAATAAGCTTATACGCATAAGCAAAACAGACTTAAAACGCAAAAAGTACATATATAAAAATACATACATTGGAGCAGCTACAACAGTTTAGAAAGCACCAGAACGATCTGGAGCTGAGTATGGAAAAATGCTAGGGACTGTCGTAGTACATGAATAATAAGACTTCGCTACATTTAAAGCTTAGAGTAGTAGATAACAATAACACAAAACTTAATATTACCAGCCCAGTAAGCAAGCACTTAAAAAATCAAAACAGTGAATCGTCAAGAAAGCTAATATCATCGGCTAAAGTTTATCAAATAAACACAAAGAGTTCAGTTTTTAAAATGAAAAAAGAAATATCTTATATTTCACAATAAAAATTGAAAGTAATTACTGGAGGCCAATCAGGATTATTTAAATGTATATAATTAGTAATCTTGAGAATTGACAACAACTTTACATATGTAAATAATACATCGTTAATGAAATTAAAAGAAATTATTAAGAGGAAATTAAATTGACGGAATATTAGGTAGCTTTCTTTATACAATCTTACAAAGGCGCTGTGTTTCGGCATTTAACATATACATACACAAACATTCGGAAAGAATATCAGTGCACAGCCACTGCCTCGCTTAAAAGCAATCAGCGAGTGAGGGTATTAATAAATTTTTAAAATATAAAACATAGAATACCAATAACTCAAAACACCCATAAGGCATCAAAAGCAATTTGATTTGTTATATTCCGGGCCGATATCCGCTTTCTTCATTTGATGCCATCTGTGCTACTAGCGCAATTAAATTAGTTCATTTTATGACTGAGTTTTCGTCTGGAGCTTTCTTATCATAAGCTGCGTTATTGACAGAGTCAAAAGTACGTTTTAACGGTTACTCCAAGAACAGCACTCATCGACAACCAACGTATTGCTGCTACCAACTAGAAGTATTACTCCTGAATTTAACAACATGAATACCCAGCCAAAAGGTTACCGCACTGGCGAAGGTAATTAAAATATTTTTTATTAGTTTAATTTAAATATTCAGTTGATATGTTATTACTGGGTGACGGATTAAGATTGTATAGCATTCAAATACCTAAAATTATTTTTGTGAGAATTTCCTGTTTCTCTTTCATTGGTTAGTTGCGAAGTCACTCCAATAAGTCTAGCGCGGTATCTATCGAAGAATCGGGAAACGTCCATCAACTGCCATTCATATTTTCTTTAAAACTTGCGCATTATTGCTAAAGCCGATTGTTCCAGAGGCATTTTAATTTTTTTTCTTAATAATACATCAAATGAATATACAGACATATTTGCTAAAAAGAAAATGCTATGTTCGCTATTCGCTATTTATGAAATAATATTTTCTTTCATTTGACGTGATTTATCGTAAAATTTCGTGTCTGAAAAGTCAGTTTTATAATACGTATGTGTGTTGTTGGTCTGAGGATATCTATCAAACCATTAGTATTACGTTAAAAATTACACGTGTTCACCGAATTTTCTTTTGATATGTCAAAGCTAGTTTCACATGGGTCTCAACGATATTATACTATAATATTTACATTTATTCACAGTTTTATAAAATAGAAATTGACCCTGTATTACTATATATAAAACATTTTCAACTTAGTTTTACCTAACGAAATAGTCTGTGTAAGAAATACAACATCGTTGTCATTTAATTATCACATATTCAACTATGCGTACAACGATTATTTTCTGCATTAACAAAGTGAAATGCCATTTATATATTTTTGGTCAAAAATTATAAATTAAAAAAATATACATATATGGGATATCCTTAACGGCCGGCACGCATTACCTTGGGTAAATTCTTGAACCACCAACCCGCAGGATTATTAAGAATTTATCTTTCGGTGCTTAATATATAACGAAGAATGTAATTTTATTCAATTAATTGACAAGAATTAAAAGAATCAGATAGGATTTAAAGGCAGTTATATAGAACAATAAATTATACTATATTAATAGGAAATAACAGCTGTCAATGTATATATTTATATTGTTCAAAGATATATTTCATTTTAAAAACTTACTATGCAATACAATTGTTGCGTACTAAAACGAAAAAATCTAGTTATTACGAAAAATGGGATACACAATTATAGGCGGTTTAAACTAAAGCGATTAATATAATTAATTATCTTTGATATTTTGAAACTTCGATCCGTTTAAGGTTATTTTCGACCACCTTTGGCACATATTTCAGCTATAACTGGTTTCAAAATACTCCAACGGAGTCAAATACCGCAAAATCGGTGGCGGACAAATTCCTTCTTCAATAATCTAGCTTTACAAATAGTGTCCAGCTATAATTACGTAAGCGGTCCCACGCCAAAGAAGATGCCTTTCTACAGTATAATCTCCAGACTTCTAATGAATGTAAACGTTTAATAATTTAATACAGGCCTAGGTCGTGAGTATAAAACAAGAAAAACGATCAGCTTATGTCAAGAAAAAAATCTGATATTAAGGTTTTGTTTCTGGCCTATTCTATTAAAGCTTAATTTTCTAGTGAATCACACCATACCAAAATTCGATATTTTATTACGTCTAGTGTTTATTAACCATGTTCAAAGGCCTTTCCGCCTGATTTCATTTTAAAGTAGCCAAAAACTAATTGAGCTATTTAAACATGGCTGAAGAGCTGACGAGCGGGCATGCATATGGGTAGGATGAGAGAATGCCCGATGATTGGAACCTTAGTGAGCCCAATCCACAAAAGGGCGACCCCACAATCGTCGCCAATTACTGTGGCTAGAGCTCTTATATGTATATAATGAACGAGTTCTCAAATGTAATTTTGAATCGCTTCAATTTTAAATTTAGTTTGTCAAAATTTCTTTAGCATTTCTAAGGGCTTTTAAGTTTGAAAAAATAAAATTAAAATTATAGAAATAAGTTCTCAGAAAGGAAATCAAATGTTTCGCTCAACATGATCGAAAAAGCTCAAATTACTCGAACTTGTGCTTGAAAACTTTCAAGCAACGAGCAATAAACCAGTGTGAGTTTGTGGATCCCAAATCAAAAGAACTTCTAGGGCTTGGAGTTCAAGAAAGAATCGAGCCAATTTCTGATAGCTTGTTCTGAAGTGATCCGTACTCCGGTGAGGGTATCCTCATTGATCTGGACAAGTGGTAATCGGAAGGTGCCATGACTAGCCTTACGTCATGTGGCCGAGCGTTGTCATGATGAAAAATGATTGTTTCTTGTCTGGTCGCATATTCTAGTCATTTTTTCGCGATGGCTTTTTTCAAACGTATCAATTGTTTTCGGTAGAGGTTCCCATTGATCGTCTGACCCGATTTCAATAGCTCATAATAGAGCACACCTTTGTGATCCCACCAAATACATAGTACAACCTTGGCGCCATAGATATTCAGCTTTGCCGTGGACGTCGATGATTGGCCGGGCTTCACAACCCTTGCGCTTTGCCGATGCAAAAATTACTTCTTTTGGTGGCGTTGAAGTAACATTCCCGACATGCAGAATCGACGTTCGACGTCTCTTGGCTTTAATTCATAAGGCACCCGATTTCCAAGCTTCTGGATGAATCTTAATGGTTTTAATCGTTTTGAAACGGTTGCTTGATCAACTCCTAATACTTTCGCAAGTTCTTCTTGCGTCTGGCATGCATCTGCGTCGAGAAATGTCTCCAATTCTTCGTCTTGAAATTTTTTTTGCTGTCCGGGTCGTTCTCCGTCGTCTAAGTCGAAATTGCCACTTTTTGCAAAACAATTTTGGCACGTTCGTTCGGCTAAAGCATGCTCACCATAAACGTCCAGTAAAATACGATGGCTTTTGGTAGCACTTTTCTTCATGTTAAAGTAATGAAGAAGACCTCCCCGCAAAAACACTTTATCTGGTACAAATTTTGACATTTTCAATTGAATCAAAAAAATTGATGTTCACGCTAAAACAAATGATAACAAATTAGATTACCTTTTTAAGCAGAAGAAATACATCCTTCCTCACTTTCTTCTTATAAATTGTTGAAAGCTAATACTTTCCATATTTCTTGCGGTATAAAAACAAAAATGTATAGGACTGGATTTTCCACCAAGCTACGCATCATACCAGAAATTTTGAATAAAACACAGTTTGGTCTATATGTCATCAGGTATATATGAGACATACGGTTATCCATTTTATGTAAAAATTTAAATTTTTTTTTTGAATTCCAAGCCGATTCCACATAAGTATATTACGGAAACCCTGTAAGATAATATGTACGAACTTTGCAATTGAAAAAATATATTTTGGATGCTGGTTGAACCAACACTCGGACTCTGGCCTTTCGAATGGTAGTACGCCGTGCTAACCACTCGACTGACCGAATGATTATACTCGTCCATATATTTAAAAGCCTCTAGCTGTTAATTATAAAGTTACGGGATTTTCACACAAACTCCATCACGTTGGTTTAAAAAAATTATTTTATTGGAAGAAATTTTAACCAAAAGCATTTCCATAAGTGTTAATCTGAACATTAGGCATTGTATTCAACGCAGATACATAGAATGCAAAACAGTGTCGTAGCATCGCCTTTAAATAGTAATTTTTGGTAGATGCAATTAGTAATTTTATTAAAGTAGTAACTCTAACTAAACATAATCGATATACATATGTAGATAAATGAATCTATACGTGTATGTATATATTTATATTTAAACACAAAATTTTATATTTCTTTTTGCTTTAATCAAATTTATTTAAAAAATTCTTGTTTGTTTGAAAGTGAGAATTATAATAATTCAGAAAATTAAAATATTTGAAGCTTAAAATTCAGTAACATAAAAACTGAAAAATTTAAAATAAAAAGTTACAAATGTTAAAGTAGATTCCTACATTTACTCCCCCTCCAGTGAAACGCATATGTAATAATATTAATTCTAAAGTCTAAATGTAACTTTTTTGTTTGGTATTTGCGTCTCGTGAACAAGAGGTTGACATAATAGGTTTAAGTAAATCTATCTATATTGTCTTAATGTTATTTCCATTGTATTTCAAAAGTTTTGTTATGTTTGGAGATAACTTTAAATGGTCCTTCATAAGGGGGTTGAAGATTAGACTAATTAATAAATAATAAAAGATCGTTCACCATCTGAACTTTTTAGATATATGAAATCGTTAACTGGCTCAGATTCAATTGTTAGTCACAAATTACTTTTTAAATTGTGGATTTGTAAACTACCTCAATAAACTCAAATTCGTTTAACTTCTTCTAGTAATCAAAATAAAGAGGAAATTATTATTTTGGCTCAAGTATCTTCAATAGCTTCAACTTTTAATAATAATAATATTTTAGAACAGTGTATTAAAAATTTAACAAATTTATCAACTGGAATGTATCAAGCTAAACAAAATATATATTACAGCTGATATTAATGAATTATAAATTAGATCTAGGTCTAGATCTAAGTGTAGAGATCATGGACCATGGATCATCATGGAATCATTTCTTAATATTTAAAGAGAGTTTGTTTTAATTCTCCACGAAGTTAGTTATTTAGATCTTGCTTTATTAAATTAACCACAGATGCACAAGTTATTTTCTTGAATTGCTTTAAGTCATGGGCATAAAGTAAAAATTACGCGAGCACACTTCAATTTTAACGTTTAACATTATTAACATTAACGACAGCATTTCGTTTGGGGTAAAAACGGAATAAAATTTACTTTGATAACTGACGATAATATTTCTAAGTGTTTAAATCGAATCACTTTTTTTCTTTTTTTTTTTTGATTAACGTGAATTTTGTCGTTACAATGCAGCCTTGGGTTCTATTCGCAATTATATTGACCACCATTTGTCGGAAATTTTCAACCTAGCAAATAATGTAATATGGAAAATAGTTATGTTGCGTTTGTCAACAATTTTGAATAAGCGTGATTCGTTCGTCTTGATGTTTTTCCAACAAATGGAGGGACGGAACGGCTGATGTTTTTTTTTTTTTTTTTTTTTTTTTTTTTTTTTTTTTTTTTTTAGAAAATTCAACTTAATTTTTTACATAAATTAATTTTCCATAACTTGTTTGGATGTTAGTACGTACCAGAATTTCAACCCGAGCCTTCCGAATTACAGTTCGCAATGCTAACCACTCGGCTAGCGCGGCCGCCAAACCTGAAGTATCCTCAAATAACCAAATTATCTAACCCTTGATTATTGTACTTAAAAAGCGAAAAAATTAAGAATTTTAAAATAACAGAGTATAGTTTCTGTAGTAATGTTCCATTAAAAAAGATGCATACTTAAGTTGCAGAGCTTTCAACGAAAAATTGGTTGAAACCCGTTTATTGTTTTACAATCCCGATAATGGCCTCCAGTTGAGTTTTAAGAATAAAGAGTTTCTACGAAAGAACAATCATGCGATTATTTATCAGTATCCTCTCATGCATTTAACAGCGCTTGTAAATTGAAATGTTTAATCGAGTAATAATTGCATTATTGCATTTACCTAAACAAAATTTGAAACCAAAAAAGTTTAAAAACGGTTATAATTTAGAGTGCACTCTATCTTAATAGTAGTCGAGTAGCAGCCGGATTTTTAAAATGAAAATACATAACTACTTCCGTCGTAAGTCACTGCAAGGTGATCATATTTATTTGAAGGGTTTAAATCAAATCATTCGATCGAATTTTATTCACGTTTGTCACTAAAGTTTTGAAAAATTTTATATTTTTATTTATTTTAAATTGCTCAACGTCTTTCCGAATTATTAGTGAAAAAACTATAATCTTGTGTGCCCGTGTCCTGGAAAAGCAAAATTGCAAAATTGTAATCTGTTCTTCCCTTTGTCCATTGTTTTAAACTAAATAAGTGATAAGATATTTATTGTGTTCGGTTTGAGTGTGGATGTGTTGTTGTATTTTAAATGGTTCTCTTTTTTTGTACGCGCATATGTACATATATATATGTGTTTTATGGTGTATGGTCCATGATTTGTCATTTAATTCTGTTTTAACGGGTACAAAAAGTCAATATTTGTATACTGAGCTACAGCTTAAAATATAAAAGAAGATCCTAAAAAGTAATATTGAATATAACATTTGTATAATATATGTGATTAATTATAGACTTGTAAATGTGATAGAATATGTTTTTGTGCTTTTCTTTCATAGAAATCTACGATAACATTTCCTGTGATGGCTTTTTCAACATGAATGCCATGCGTATTCAAACAACTTTCCCGCCAATTGGCACTTTTACTTTGGATTCTACTCTAGGTCCGCCACCGGCGCAACAACAATCTCAACCGCCGATATCGCAACATCCACCACCTATTGGTATTTTCGATGCTAATGAGGTTCCGGAAATTATACAAAATCCGGCAACAATTGGTGTTTTTCAATCTAATAGCGTTTTGAGTAATGGTGGAGGTAGTGGTGGCGGCGGTGGTAACAACTCCTCGTCAATATTTAGTTCTCAATCGAGTTCTTCATCCGCTGCCAACGATCCGAGTCAAGCCACTCGTGAGACTGGAATTATTGAGAAGCTTTTGGTGAGCATAATAAAAATTTCTTTACTACCAGTGAATCAATTTTAAATCCTCGTATACTATACATGTATTTTCAGCATTCATATGGGTTCATTCAATGTTGTGAGCGTCAAGCACGCTTATTCTTCCACTTCTCGCAATTCAGCGGTAATATTGATCATTTGAAAATTGGAGATCCTGTTGAATTTGAAATGACCTACGATCGCCGAACTGGTAAACCAATTGCCAGTCAAGTATCGAAGATAGCACCAGAAGTGGTCTTATCGGAGGAGCGTGTTACTGGTACTGTTACTACAGAACTTCGAACTGACTGTGCAAACAATCTGCTTTCCTCGAACGAGACCACAGGACGTATTAGCTATGAAAATCGTGGTGAGTGTTTTTTCTTGCCATATACCAAAGACGATGTCGAGGGAAATGTCAACTTACGGGCCGGCGATAAAGTTAGCTTTCAAATTGCAACTAACCAAAGGTATTTATTAATTTGTGGTTAAAGTTTTAAATCCATATTACAATTATTTCATTATTCAGAGGTAACCTCGGTGCTTGTCATATTCGTTTAGAGAATCCGGCTCAGCCGGTTAAATATCGTGGCGTTGTGTGCTCTATGAAAGAGTCATTTGGATTTATTGAGCGTGCTGATGTTGTAAAAGAAATTTTTTTCCACTTTTCCGAAGCAGAGGGTAATGTTGAGCTGCGTCCAGGCGACGATGTGGAATTTACTATACAAACACGTAATGTAAGTGTAACCCATAAAATATACCAGATAGTAGTATCATATCATTGTTTAATAATAGCATAGTAAAATAGAAAAGTTTGCATATTTGAGTACCCATAAGTTCAGTTCAGTTCAGTACTTTCAGGCAATTTCAGTTTGTGAAACGAAACAGTTTTTTCCCCTGCTGACGCATAACTGCTCATTAAACTTTATTTTTTGATCTACGAGTTCTACCTTGTTCAAAAAGTTTCGGTATGTTTGGAGTCGTACTCACTCGATTTTGTGGTAATAAACACTCAGATTGGTTTTTTCGCTTTTTAATGCTTTTTCGATTCTTCGACTCCTTTTCCTTTATATTCTCTTTCTTCATAGTTTTCACTATAGCTCCGATTCATAAAACAGAATTTCCCTACTTTGAAATCAATTAAATAATTTGTAAAAATTTAGTTTCTTGAATATTATTAACTGAAAATGGAAAGCATTAAAAATATATCTTTTGCCGATAATGCCAAATTCGAATGTACGGTGATAAGGAAAGACCGATAACTAAGGCACAATTATTCATCTGTAGCTATATTACAGCAAACAGCAAAGCGCACACCTTTGGCAGGTACAGTTGAGTTTGGAACTCGGTATTGAAAAAATCGGCTCGGAATGAAACAGAGCAAACTGTACGAATAGTAAAGCGACTTAAGAATTTGGAGAAATCTCCGGATTTTTACGTAATATTACACGGATCGAACTCATTTTGGAAATCATCACAGCGTATGAAAGCATGAGAAATACGAAGGAATATATATCCACAGTTTTTTTCAGAACTTCCTTTAAGGTTTCCCGTGCTCTAGCCTAACCAGCCGGGCGTTCTTTTTAGGTCGAATGCAAATGCAAGCGCCTTATACTCGTATAAACATATAGATAAAAAATAACAAATATAAAATGTAGAGTTAGAAACTCGTTTCTAACATAGCAAATCGGGTTCGAAAGCTTACAGAATAAGCTTACAGAAATGCAGGTAGCTAAAGAAGGAAAATGTACTTTTGATGCTATATTTAGTTATATCTAAAAGCTAACCCCCAAACCTCTCTGCTTGTAGCCCAAAAACTCATAAGTTATAGCATTAAACCTTTCAACTCTTATCTCATGAAAAATACCATTATATTTTTAAAAGGGTCGTGAGTTTGCTTGCAACATAACTAGGCTAGCACCCGGTTCAGTTATTTTCGAAGATGTAGATACGACCATCTACAAAGGACAGGTTTTGAAGCCGCTTGATCGTAATAACGCAACTCGGCAGACCAATGATCCATTGCCTGGACGTATACGTTATCGTGCCGCAGATTATTCCGAAGTTGAAGTACCTTTTGGTGATAAAGATCAGGTAAGGTTTGAAATAAAAAACTATTCTTAACATAATCCCGGCTGTCTTTTATAGAAGGGAGATTTCACTTTACGCCATGGTGACTGGGTCCAGTTCTTGCTAGCTACCGATAGGCGTGATCAATTACAGCGTGCAACATCGATTTCCTTACTCGATGAAACCTTTAAAGTGTCTGGTGAGAAGCGCGAGCAGGGTGTTGTTGCATCACTTAAGGACGGCTTTGGTTTTCTACGTTGCGTCGAACGCAATTTACGTCTATTTTTTCACTTTACTGAAGTGTTGGATACTGTAAATAAGATTTAATCTCGAAAGAAAAGTTCGCAAATAATGGAAACTTAAATACTATTTTCAGAGTCGGGAAATCGCTGTTAATGACGAAGTTGAATTTACTGTGGTTCAAGAACCTGGTGTCCCATACAATACATCCCGTTTGCATGCCATTCGCATAAAGCATCTACCACCCAATACGGTGCAGTTTGAAATGCTAATGGCAAGCAATATTGAAGGTATGGTACATCTAAAGTTAACATATTAGAGAAAGATCTATTTCTGTTATCCTTGTAATTATAGGCTCTATTACGCGTGAGGCTCCAAAGAGTCCAGTTAAATCCCAGGACCGTGTTGAAGGCGGCGTGATCACTTACGATCATGGTGATGTCAAAAAGACTATAATGTATTTCCTTAAAGACTGTGAAAAACCACCAAGAATTGGAGATCGTGTGCGATTCGATATCTACTTGGTGAGTATGTGATGTACGGAAATCCATAAGAGTCATTTTAAGTATTTCTTTTCTAAATAAATAGATCTATTTAAATAATATACCTTTTCAGAAATAAGTAAATACTTTCCCTTTTACTATCTTTTAACTATTAGTTTTAAAAATTGTTTGTGTTTGTACTTTTAAATTTTTCAGGTAAAACGAAACAAAGAATTCATAGCTGTAAACGTACAGCTAATAGGACAATTGCAACAGTTGCATCAGCAACAATTACAGCAGCAGCAGCAGCAGCAGCAACAACAACAACAACAACAACAGCATCAGCAGCAGCAACAACAACAACATATGTTAACCAATACAACGAATCAACTTCAACATCAAAATGTCCACAACCAAAACAATGAGCAAATGCTACTAACCAATGGTGTCGGTGTTGCTCCTGGCGCTGGTGTCGGAGTTAGCGTTGGTGTTGGCATAAACGTTGGAGGTAACACCGGTGGTATTTTGGCTCCACCACAAAATGGATATTTGCCACTGGCAAATTCAACTCAGCTGCTATCCACACCAAAGATAGAAGACTTCAAATTGGACAATAATAACTTAACTATGAATGAACATGGTCAAGCTTATCGTGGCTTTATTGCTGTTATCAAAGAAAATTTTGGGTTCATTGAGACGCTTTCGCACGATGAAGAAGTTTTTTTCCACTTCAGTAACTATGTTGGCAATCCGAACTGGTTGGAACTAGGTCAAGAGGTTGAGTATACTCTTTCGCCAAATGGTAACACTTCCGCCTCTGGAAACTGCTTACCCGCCGAGAATGTGCGCACACTACCAAAAGGATCCATTCCACAGCCAGCTATTTTAGAAGGAACTCATAATGGAATAGTAGCTCGTCCGTTACGTTGCATCAATCCCGATCAGCAGGAATATGCAGGACTTATAGAAGTTTTAGATGAAAACAAACAAAGTGTTCTCACTCAGCACGAGTTTGGAATTACAAGTTTGGTCAATAAGCGCGATTTACTGCAGAAAGGTGACTTGGTCACTTTTAAGATAGATGAAATTGGTCGCGCTGCAGAGATAAATGCTGTTCGGCAAAAGAAACGTGCAACGGTTGATTCGATTAAAGGACAATTTGGATTTCTCAATTTTGAAATCGAGGATGGCAAAAAACTCTTCTTTCACATGTCCGAGGTGCAAGGCAATGCCGTAGCTCTTCATCCAGGCGATACAGTTGAATTTTCAGTTGTTACCAATCAGGTAATATATATTATTTAGGCCATTTGTTCAGTTTTATGCATAAGTTTAATTTAACAATATTGGCATACGCAATTTCAAGGCTATGGTTAGCGCAAGAGTAAATTGAAAAATGTTAGCAAGTGAGAACAATGTTGAATATCCGCTTCATTTAGACCATATTTCGAGGTGTTTATATACTTCTGTGTTGGCAGTAACTTGATTCACTTTAAAGAAATTTAAATGAATTAGCATTTTATTAAATACTTTTATTTTGCTTTTAAATCACAAATCCACCATTAAAGTAAAGTTTTTAAGAATCATAGTTCAGTGGTATAATTGAATAATGTAATCTAATCGAATCTATAGAGAAGCGTGAATGTATTTGTTATTCGATACTTTACATTTACAGCGTAACGGTAAATCATCAGCTTGCAACGTACTGAAGATTAATGATCGCCCAGACCGTTTAATATCCCGTTTGAAACTGAATGCAGACGATACTGTGCCACGATTGATCATCACTCGTGCACCACGGGGACCACAAAGCAAAGGTTTCTTACCACAAGCACGTATTGCTCGCATTCCAGGTAAATTGTCTAAAGTTTCATACTCAAGTTTCAAATAACGATTTAAGTTTTATTCTCTTTACTCTTTTTAGGCATTATAATTGAATAATTAGTAACAATAGACAAAACAAAAACTGGAATTCTGCAAAGTTCCATGATTAAATACCCGTAACACCGCATGGAAAACTGAATAAAAACTTGGGTGCAGGAGTAGCGAGGAGAAGGAACCATACAAATATATATATAAAAACTTATTATGTATATAATGGCAGTGCGTCAAGTAAAAGGATTGAAAGTAAAGCAAAGCTTGAGGCCACATCTCTTCCTCAGAAAAGAAAATAAATAAAGCACATACATTTATTAATGTGAATACTAAAAAAATAATAATATTAAATAAAGGATTACAGTAATATAAACACAAAACTGAACAGCTTGAGTAAACTGAAAAAGGAATAAAAATTAAAATAAAAATAGTTCTATGAGAAGCATTATATTAAATATAAAAACTGTTGCAAGCACGTAAATCATACGCACGATAAAATACAACTGATCGTTGCTATAATTCCCTGTTTATATTTAAACAATTTATAAACGTAATGCCAAAGTGCAAACAGATTTTTATTTAGAGATTTTAATTTCTATTTGACATTTATAGTAGCGACATTAACGCAAAAGATGTGAAAGAACTAATTAAACTGCTGAAAAAAAACACAAGTTAAAAGAGAAATAGTTGGAGCATAAACAAAAGCCACGGAAAAATGCAACAATTTGTAAAGTAGTATGCCACATATATAACTAAACCAGTATCAAAACAATAACTAAATCGTGCTCATTTATTTATTTCCAATATTTAATCTTAATATAATTTAATTTAAATATATTTTCATTTTACATATGTACACATAATGAAACAAAATTGAAATTATTAAAGATCAATATCAATTTTAAATATAAAAAATATATCATAACAAGCCTTATAATAAGAGGTCTAGCATTGAACCATTAAATTAACCAACTCTCAGTTAGCCTCTATATTCCATACTATTTCGCAAATACTTTCTTTCAAATGTTTCCAACGGTTGAAAGTTACTCGTACAATGCCAAATTAGGACAATGAATTTCTTGTATCGTTTCGGTACCACAAAAGAATTTCTTGTCTTGTTTTTACCCTAATTGTTAATTATATTTGGCGGTGCGCTCTCTTGAACTGCTTTTTTAGTATTTATATATACGAATATTTATTCTCATTTCTTCACGCTCTAATAACTATAATTATACGCATATATGTGTCACACACATTTGTAATACTGCGAATGTAATTAAAACGTAAACATTTTGAAACCTGTACTGTTATAACTTTATTAATATTATATTTTCTATAAAAAAAAAATAAAACAAATTACAAATTACAAATTTGAAATTGATATGAAACAAACACACAAAATTAAACCAAGTTTAGTATTTAGTTATATAAAATAATTTATATGATTACCAATGATTTATTATTGAATAATGGTGATGAAGTAAAAACTGTTGCATTAAATCAAACAATAAATGCAAATTTGAGGCAGCGAATACAATTTGCTCCATCAAACTGCGACATACATATACAAGTATAAAGTCTAAATAAAAAATAGCAACAAAACGCAAGATTTAATTGAATAAGCAACACCCAAATTAAGCAAAATATAATTACGAAGAAATATATAAATATATCTATAATATAAATCTTCAAGAGAATAATGAATTTGAATATCATTCAAAATTGGGACCAGTCCTATAGCCATGTTAAAATATAAAAACTGCAGAACCAAAAATATACAAAACAAACTTTCAAATGAAATGAAATTATATTATAATTGCTTGAATACCAATAAAAATCGTAATATCAACATCACAAAAACAAAAAAAAAACGTAAAAACTGCAAAGCAACTAATTGCAAACTATATGAAATCAAATAAAATAAATACATATTTCATTAAAGCTAAAACCTTGTGTTTCTATATTCTAATCATCACTATTGATTGTTTGGCAAAAAGTTAGTTTTAACCAAAACCAAAACCATTTCAACACCTCTAATAAAGAGTGAATGCTATAGGTAAAGTAGTTGTGGTGTAAAGTTCTTCCTTCAAAGAACTGGAATCACCACTTTAAATATTACTTTGGAAAAAAGTTCTACTTTGTAGAATAAGCTTTAATCGCTATAAGTTAATACAAATACTAATGGTTGCCGCAGTAGGCAAGTACTACCCCTCCGAATGCACTTCTGACATGGATTAAATGCTCTCCATGAAATTTCTTCAGTCACTCGGAGGCGGCTTAGAATACATTGTAAGACGCTTTACACATATTGGATTAATTTGGCGTTCAGTTACAAACCGTTAAATATATATTTGAGACTTCAAGTTCTAAGTATATAGACAAGACCCTATTAAGTTTTCATGATATAATAGGTATATTCAATGACCCGAAGGACAGTATCAATTTAACTGAATTTTACAGAACCGCGTTCGGTGAGAAGCAGTTTCGATGTTTAGTTCGTAGAGGTTTGCGATTATATGGTTGGTACGGTCACAGTGTCGATATATTTTAATATTGTTTTTTTTTTTTTCGGAGCAAGCTTGTTCGTAGGGGAATTTTGGAAAATGATAAATTAAATTAAATTATTGAATTTTAAAAAGTTTGTATCTTTGGGAAGGCAAGTGAAAATCTTCTTTCTTTACGCCCATATCTCGATACGTTCTGAAGATAATTTTCGAGAAAATCCAGTATTATAAAAAAATACTCTTTCTAGAAAATATATCTATTCCTAAAATTTTTTTCAAATTAGCCATAAGCTAAGTTTGCTACAAATAAAAGGAGCATGGAAATACCTCTAATTCGATATATAACATGTAAAATAAATTCTCTTAAGTAAATAGCAGTACACTTAAGTGAAAACCTTTGTAAATTGGCGGCCTTTGGACGCGCTTAAAAAAATAATCCTGGCCGAACCAACACCGGCTTCGCCGTACAAAGTCCTTTGTCTGAAATGGCTTTACGGGTATGGGTATGGTTAATTCTCGCTAGCAACACAATTAAAACAAAATTTTTCGTACTATTGAAAAGTAACTACAAAGTGTGATAAATCAAATTAAAAGTATTTTTTTATCTTCTTTTTAATTGATATAGTTTTATGTTTGATATATTACAAAAAATTTTTAGGAGAGTTAATGCGAAAATTCCACCCTCTTGAAATCAGAGCGGATCACGACCAATAAATCATTTTGTTCTACCTTAATGGCCTGTATCTTGCCCTTATGCTCATAGACGATAATGAATTATTAAGCTTCTGAAAATTACTACGGTCACAAAATGAAATTTTTGTGGCATTTAAAATGAAAAATACATTTCCTGCTGAATATGTTTGGATTTTACTTAAAAATAATCGAAATTCTATAATAATATTCAGTTAATAATGCCGGGCTAGACGCAAAAGACTTCTATTCTAAGCTCTTTCCTGTATTTCAATTATTCATCCTAAAAACCTTGCAAAGCTAGTTTTATATAAATCTCCGTCCTTTCAGCGGTCTTATTTTTCTAGATATAAAACAATTAATATCTTTATAATGCCATTAAATTGCCAATAGCTCTGTGCGGTGAGAAATGTAAGTAAGAATTAGCCACCCTACAAGAACGGGATGATGGGTTCACCAATACACCCACACGATTTCGGGCAGCACTAACCCATAAGCAAGTTGTTTTATTTATCTTTCTCTTTTGAATACATACAAATGAAAGAGAATGTAGTTGATCGGATTATCCGTTTTATTTTATGTTATTATTTTCTTCGGACTTTATAAGAAGTTTTTATATAATTAATCAAACAAATACGAATATATAATTTTAAGCGAACAAAACAGTACAAAAGAATTGAAACACATATATATGAGGATGCTGGGCATACCTAAGCTGGGGTAATAATATATTATCTATAAAGTTTCTACTTCGTTTTTAATTGTTATTTTCATCTTTTTTAATTGAGAACGCAATATCGGGTAATGCACCCGATATTTTTCGAACAATTCCGCTACTGGAGCAGGTGACTGGGATGGACGATGTGAAAAGCAGGCTTCAGCAAATTTGAAAATATTCAGGAGCTGCACCAACCACCACCGGATGACAGAATTAAAAACTTATGCATAGACTGAAAATTCACGTTGTGTAAAAAAAGGGGTTTCACGCGCTTCGCTCAGCTTATGGTCAATCGGCCTACTGAGCGTACTATTCGTAACACCATCACCAATCAACCGAATAGACCGCACGCAGTGAAGAAAATATAGTGACCGTAGCTGAGAGTATACAAAGCGTACAAAATACAGCTGCAAGAACTGAAGCCGCTCGACCATCCCAAGCAACATCGCTTCGCGCTTTGATCCGACTTTTTCGAGCCAAAATTTGTTCACCGATGGGGCTAATTTATGGCTCATTGGGTACGAAGAGCAACCTCACCAGAGCTGTCATTTCATCCAGAGAAAATAACGGTTGAAGTCTAAAGTCTGTGTGGACAATCCCGCTTCGATTCAGGCCTTGGAGCAAAACATCCCAGTCGAAATGCTCGAACGAGACATCGAAAATTGGACTCAACGGTTGGACCATTTGAGATGCAGCCGCAGCCAACAATTGAAAGAGATAATCTTCTAAAAATAAAGACCAAAGAATGTTCTTTCGGAAGATAATACACATTATCCATTAAATTTGATTTTTTTTTTTTTAAAAGTCGGCAATTTCGAGACCCAGGGTGTCATGCGTTTCCGTGCCCATTGGATTGTTTTCAGTCAGGGACGTCCGACTGTATTCGAACGGAGCCTCCCGGACACCGGTCCACCTCCGGTAGTAACGGGGCTCTGCGTAGTCGACCGTTTCAATTCCCGTTCCAATTTTTCCGGTCACCGAAAGGTCTCCGCTCAGTGGGTGACCAACGAACCAGATGACCTGAACAAAAATAATCCAGCCTCGGATACCTGCACAGGTATAAATGCAGCCGTTGGACACGGCTTTACCAAAACGGCCCAAGACTTTTCGGGAACCCTATGGACGGGCCGAAAGGGAATTCACGGCCAATCTCAACAACAAAACCCCTTCGGCCTTCGGGACCCATAGGGGTCAGTTCTAAGCCCCTTGAGGGAAATCAGCCTCCACTTGCTGGAAAACCCCACGCCCCTTGAGGGAAGGTCAAAAACGCCGGCTGGGACCCGGAAAGCCCGTCTTGACAAGCCCCACCACGGAAGAGAAAAACAGGGGATCAAGGCCAGCGCAAACCTAAAGGCCTAGGTCTCAGGAAAACACCTCAAGTGAATTCAAGAGGAGCAGGCCAACAGCACCACATC